TCGAGTCCTTGATTCGACACTATGAATTCAGTGTAAGTACGTTCAGGACATATGACTTCATCTTATTTTAAATTAAGCTCACATGTATTGATGTTAGAGTACTAGCTAGTGTGGCACTAATGGCTGAAATATATATATATATATATATATGAGTATGTGCAGGTGGTCTACAAGGACACAACAAATCTTTGTTCCTCGAAGCCCATCGTCACCGTAAACGGGAAGTTCCCCGGACCAACCCTCTACGCAAGGGAAGATGATACTGTAATTGTAAAGGTCACCAACCATGTGAAATACAATGTCACAATCCACTGGTGAGAACTATTCCATTCCCACAAATTTACGATAAACTTACGCAGGACTACTCCTGGCACGTAACAGTTTTGAATGAAAAAAGGTTTAACTAAAATATGATGTGCGTCCAAATTTGATGACTGGTTTTGTATTTTTATAAATGTGTGTCATCTTTTAACTGAAGTACATTGTAGAAGTTGATGAAATTCCTAATAAAATGATGATATAATCTCGGTAATGGCAGGCATGGGGTGAAGCAACGTGGAACAGGTTGGTCAGATGGGCCAGCATACATCACACAATGCCCCATACAGCCCGGCCGAAACTACATCTACAATTTCACACTTACAGGCCAAAGAGGCACACTTCTTTGGCATGCACACGACTCTTGGCTAAGGGCCACTCTACACGGTGCTATTGTCATCTTGCCTAAGAGAGGCACTCCTTACCCTTTTCCCACACCTGATGAGGAAAAAATTATCATCATGGGTAAGTTGAGGGGGTTTCGGTCACAATATGTTATACTATTGTTTAATACGTTTAGTCCCAATGTTTACTAGCTCACAAAACAGCGGCTAGAAAATTAGTCTAATATAATTGAAATAGTCCAGTTCAAGACGAGCCACCAAACGAGCCCTAGTGATTGCAGCTTTGTTATTTGGTAATTTGACTTTAGCCTTTTAATTGCAGCTGAATGGTGGAAATCAGATGTTGAAGATGTGATCAATCAAGCTACACAGTCTGGCCTGCCACCAAATGTCTCAGATGCACACACCATCAATGGCCGCGTAGGACCACTTCCTGGTTGCTCTTCTCAGGGTACTGAAATGGGGTATACTTAGTACCACACATGTGATTTGCCAAAACTAACCTTACTTCCTGTACAAGCAAAGTGATCCAAGGGATGCAACATAACAATTTTGTGTTTTGCATATGTGCTAGGGGGCTACACTTTACATGTTGAAAGTGACAAGACCTACATGCTACGCATCGTGAACGCTGCGCTAAACGATGAATTGTTCTTCAAGGTAGCAGGGCACAGCCTAACCGTTGTAGAAGTCGATGCCTCCTACACCAAGCCGTTCCAAACTGACACAATATACACCGGTCCAGGTCAAACCACAAACGCAATTCTAACAGCAAACCAGGGGATTGGCAAGTACTTCATAACAGCGTCTCCTTTCATGGACGCGCCAATTGGGTTCGACAACGCAACTGTGATCGCTACTTTGCGCTACAAAGGCACCCCGGCAAATCCCACAGCTATCTTAACCAGCATTCCTCCTCGCAATGCAACCCCGTTAACAGACGCTTTTGTTGACTCCCTTCGAAGCCTCAATTCGAAACAATACCCAGCCGATGTCCCATTAACTATAGACCATTCGCTTTTCTTCACCATTTCAGTTGGTGCAAATCCATGTGCTACATGTGTCAGTGGAAGCAAACTAGTATCTGCCTTCAACAATGTTAGCTTTGTGATGCCAAGTATCTCTCTCCTTCAAGCATATTACTACAATGTAAAGGGAGTCTACACACTTGATTTTCCGGCAAACCCTCCAATTCCTTTTAATTACACCGGCACATCTCCGGCAAACCTTCAGACCACAAACGGGACAAGACTATACCGGCTGGAGTATAATTCGACGGTTCAGATTGTGTTGCAAGGCACTGCTATCATAGCACCAGAGAGCCATCCAACCCATCTTCATGGATTCAATTTCTTTGTGGTTGGGAAAGGATTAGGTAATTTTGATCCAAAAAAGGACCCAGGAAAATTTAATCTTGTTGACCCAGTTGAGAGGAACACAGTATCAGTACCTACTGCTGGATGGACTGCAATCAGATTCAGGGCAAATAATCCAGGTAATAAAACCTACCACAATATTCCGTTTTGCGTACTTTTCTATTCCGTTAATGACATGTTTGCTTACTTGAAATGGGCTCCGGACTAGTTCCGATTCGTTACTTCCCTTTTGTTCCGACGTTACCATTTGTTACCTAATACCTGAGAATCGAGAATTAGATTGATAAGAGTAGTTATTCTCATTGCCGTTCCTAAATCTCCCATACTCCTGACTTCCTCGATTCATGATTTCTCGCGTTTTAAGTACCGGACATGCCCTACAGTGGCAAGTTCACTCATCTTAGTGCCTACACGCTAACATATTTTTTTTTACAGATGAAATGTAATTAATTAGAAATATGTTATTCTTTTTTGTGAATGGTAGGCATTTGGTTCCTGCATTGTCACCTGGAAGTTCACACATCATGGGGGCTGAAGATGGCATTCTTAGTGGAAAACGGAGAAGGACAAAACGAGTCTCTGCCACCACCTCCGACTGATCTTCCAACTTGCTAGAATTTCCAATCCGAACGCCTTTTGAATCGAGGTTGGAGACTCGAGACATCGAAAGAGTGAGTGTTCCAGGTAGAATATGAACTGAATTGACACAATTGAAAAGGTGGTTTGGTACAGGGAATGAAATAGAAGCAGTTGCTTAAAAGAGTGAATAAGTTTGTCAATTTTTGAATTTCTTGTACTTTGTCAAATTTTTGTGTTGAATTTAGTTTCACACCTATATATAATAAATATTTGGTCTGTAAGAATTTCTATAGTATCTTCTTGATGATTAATTTTTTTTATTTACTCCTTTAAATTTGTAAATATAATTCTGCAAAAATATAAAAATAAAAAAAAAACACAAAAATGATAGAATTTTTTTTATTTACTCCTTTAAATTTGTAAATATAATTCTGCAAAAAAATAAAAATAAAAAAATAAAAGAAACACAAAAAAAAAGAAACACAAAAATGATCGCGCCAGATAGGGGTCGAACCTATGACCTTCTGCTTAGGAAACAGACGCTCTATCCACTGAGCTACAGGCGCTTGTTGGTAAACGTATGCGGTTGAACCATATTTAACTCTTAAAAGTGAGTTGGCAAAGGCAACCGGATAATAGAAAAATGAGAATGACACCCCATTTTTGTCCTCCAATGCCCCATTGTTCAATCTTGTTCATTATTTTTATTTGACTTGTGCAATTTGATGGCAAGAAAAAAAAATGTGTACAAATTAACTCTCTGAAATGTTAGTATTCTTATGAGAAATTGGAATTGTGGTGGTCAATTTATTTGGTATCACTAGTAAGAAAAGTCAAACAGCTTAAATAGAACTATACCAATTGCAATTTCAAGCTTTTGTGCATGTGTCAAACCGAATGACCACTTCTTTTATTTTAATCTATTTTACACATATTGTATAGACTACTAACTATTTGTTGAATTTGAAGTAGAGTGGGATTTAAAGCACTTGATGTTTTAATAGTAACTAAGTTAATGAGATTTGAAATTTATGTGCTATAATATGGAATATTGTAGCTAGTCATAAAATTATTTTGTCCTAATTGAGCTAACAAAGATGTAAAATGCAAAAGAAATGGACTTCGGCCCAAACCAAACCGTCGAAATGAGTTTTGGTTTGGTTCGATTTTTTTCATGATTCTTGATACAATCAAACCGAAATAAACCGTCCTAGTATAATTAGTTTGGTGGCAATTTTATTATTTTATAGATAAAATCGATTCAACTCGCAAGGGAAATGATGCTCATCCGTACCTAATTTAATCCACCCAAAATAAAACTAAAGAATAATACTTCTAACCTTTTGATCGATTTAAACAGTTCGATCGGTTTGATGTCCACTCCTAAACTCTAAAGATAAAATCAATCCAATCTCAAACTGAACGATGTCCATCCATAATTAATTTAACCCCCACAGAATATGAATTAATGAATAATATTTTTGAAATGTCGTTTTCCAATTCTGTTACATAAAGAGAAAATTGTAGTAATAGTCCGTCAACTTTAAATTAATTGGAGTAATAATCTTTCAATTAAAAATCCATGACTATTGGTCATTTAACTCATCAAAACGTGTAGCTATAGTTCTTTTCGTTAACACCATTAGAATTCCATCAAAATGAGTTATGTTGGAATGACCATTACTCCAATGAGGTTAATGTTAAGAGACCATTGCTTCAATTGAGTTAAAGTTGATGGACCATTTCTCCAATTGGGTTAAGGTTGAGAGGTCATTGCTATAATTTTTCTCATTTGGTTTTCCATATTTGCCCCTCGATTCAGCCTCATGTGCATCACACGCACAAAAGTTCTAACGAGTTAAATAAAATGATTATAGCTACACGTTTTGAGAGGTTAATAAATCAATGATTATGGATTTTTAGTTAAAGAATCATTACTCCAATTAAGTTAAAATTGAGAGATCATTGCTACAATTTCCTCATTATATAAGAGCCACAAAACACAACAGAAATCCCACTTAAAAAGAAAAAAAATTAAAAAAAAAATTTCCCACTGACTGAGGACATAAACATCCGAAATTTATACCCCGGCAGAAAAGGAGAAAAGAAATCCCACTTATGCAATCTAATTTTCCTTTTTTGGTAAGACAAAGTTTCTCAAAAAGAGGGAAGTTCTGACTAGTTTAGGTACCCACAGTCCAATACCACCATGTCAGAAGCATTTTTTTAGATAATTTTTTTAGTACCAAGAAACACAACTCGATACATCAAGTACTGCAAATTATTAAAAAAAAATTAAAAATCAAATTATTTATATAAACATTTGATATACTGAAGGGTATACTGGCACACTAAAAAAATTTCTCTACTTTAACGGCCGTCACACAGAATACAACACTTGCTGAAGCGGTTCTGATTATCTGATTAATTTCTTTCATATATCACTCTCCTTTCCCAGTCTATATATATATATACACATCACACACACCTATATATATTCATCCTTTTCTCTTCCTTCTCTTCAAAGCAACGAAGCCAGTAAATCCTTTTCCCGCTTTTCTCAGCCCCCTAGAATCTTTCTTTTTCCTCAACTGGGTATTTTTTCTTGCTGTTCAACCCTTCATCTTTCAGTCTTCTTTCTGGTTAATTTCCAAAAATTTCAACTTTTTACGTTGTGGGTTGCTTTCAGATTGCTATAAAGCCCTCGCCTTTGAGTTTAATTTCGTTCAAATCCCAAAAATTCATCTGGGTTTTTCCCATTCTCTCTCTAGGATTATACCCGAACCAAATCAGATTTTCTCAGGGTTTTCCAAGATTCTCCGCGATTCCCAAAAAGTGGATTCTTTCCAAGATTCTTTAGTTTATGATATCTAGGAAAAAGAAGATTCTTGATTCCCAGTAAAAGATTCTGAATTGATTGCCTTCTTAAGCTTTACTTCAATAGCTTCCGACTAAATAAGTGAAGCAGTTGCTGCATATTTTTACGGCTTGTAAAAGCATGGAGACCTTGTATCCGGCTTCAAACATGGCGGATTATGATTGGTACTCAGAGTGGACTAAGGAGGAGAACAAGATGTTTGAGAGTGCCCTGGCGATGTTCGATGAGAAAACGCCGGACAGGTGGCGGAAGGTGGCGGAGATGATTCCGGGGAAGACGGAGATCGACGTGATCAAACAGTACCAGGACCTGGAGGAAGATGTTTGTGAAATAGAATCCGGGAGGTTTCCGATTCCTCCAGGGTACCCTCAGTCATACTTCACATTGGAGTTGGGGGATGATCGAGATTTCAATGCTAATCGAAAGAGGCCGGCAGCGGCGAGGGGTTCTGATCAGGAGAGGAAGAGGGGAATTCCATGGACACCCGAAGAGCACAGGTTTATCTCCATCCATCCATTTTTTGTAGAATTGTCCTCAACTATTGTGCTAGTTATACATTTCGTAGTTCTGAAATTTAATAGCTTATGAAAAATTAATATGAAAGCTCTAGTTCAATATTAGGAAATCATTATGTGGATGAAACTTTTGTTTTCTTTAATTTCCAATTAGTTTTTATGACAAGACGATATCCTAAGCTTACTCTAATCAACGGGAAGAGGATTCAAATTTGGGTGCTACGGAATGGTGGATATACTACCATAGCCAACTGACCTAACCCACACGTGTAATTTCCAACTATTTTTTATGAACCAAATGGAATTTTCCACCACTCTGGCTTCTGTTCTAGTTATAGTTCAAAAGCAGTCATCTATTCAAATCTTCATATCCAACTTAATTTTGATGTAGTGGAGTAATTTCCGCACTCCGAGTTTTACCTTCCACACTCGGGCCTTATTTATGTCTCTTGATTCTCCTTGGACTTGAAGTATGGCGGTGAATAAATTATGATAGAAGACAATTCCGCACTCACTACCATGTTAGTCAAATTGCACGTGGATAGGTTTGATTTCTCTGTGTGATCTTGCTATTTTTATTGACATGATTGCTGGTAATGAATTGTAGGCGGTTTCTGCTGGGACTTCTAAAGTACGGGAAAGGGGACTGGAGAAACATCTCTCGGAATTATGTGGTCACTAAAACTCCCACACAAGTAGCAAGCCATGCTCAGAAATACTTCATGAGGCAGGATTCAGGAGGGAAAGATAAAAGGCGGCCAAGCATCCATGACATAACCACTGTCAACCTCACAAGCAATACTCCACCAGAAACTAACAGGTCTCCTTCAGACCAGTCTCCACCGGAGCAGAAGTCCACTGAATCGCCAAACGTGTTACTTGACTGGAATGAGGCTGATGATGGAGGAGCCGCTATGGTTTTCGGCTCTACTCATGGCAATCTCTTAGATCCATCTCCATATGATGTACCAGCAGATGGGATTAAAATGCAGTTGCAGAAACTATACAGCCACGCTCATTATGCTGCTCATGCCACACCTCAAAATTCGCTATATCTAATGCAGTCCGCGAGACATCAGATTCATGGATAAGAACAGGCCTAGTAAACGATCTTCATCAGAATTTCGGTGTTGGTTTTATTTTTTACGTGTTTGTGTTGGATTGATTTAGCTTAATAAGGACTTGGTTTTTGTACATAGTTCTTGAACATTGCAGAATGGTGAAATTCCATTAGGCCTCAAAGTGTAATGTCTTGAATTATGAAATGGAAATTAATTGTAAATTGCTCTTTCCCTTCAGGCCCTGAGTGTGTCTGCATTTCCCAGGCCGGAGGTTTATTTGAGTGGTAAAATAAACATGTATATATCGCATCCCACGACCATCCTGCAAGATTTATGCCGCACTGGAGAAAACCCCGTAAATAATATATGCATACTGACGTGAATCTAGATAAGACTAAAACACGAAAAATTTCATGTTTTCGTGACAAATGTTTGAAATATGATATAGTCGGACAACCTTACCGAAGTTCCTCGTGAATTTGCACTTGGGATGGCTGAGGTTGATCAGATCACTCTATGGTTGCATCACACGGGAATGATCTTGCAACCACTAGGGAAAAGGAGCCATGTCATTGGCTGATGTGGCTGCTGACTCACTCTGCACCTCTTTTGAAAATTCCACAGTATCTAACATATTGCTTTACCTTTTTCTTCTCATTAAAAAGACCTTTCCGCCATTGTTTTGCTTCTTATACAAAATCCAATACTGGGCAAATTGACGGAGTGGCCCTCCACCACTAAGATGCTGAGTTTGCATTCCACTCGATAAGCATCCATCTACCTCATTCCATCGTAGGATGCAGGACCTTCCACGTAAGAAATGCCAATTTGCATTTTTGCCATTCGATGTTGGAGCCAATACCATTGTTGATGGTGGCAAGACTTTTTGCATCAGCATAGCGCCATTTGTTTAGGTCTACCCCAAGCGTCATGCTTTGCTCTTTACAGGATTTGTTCGATAACTATTTTGTTTTTGTTTTTTAGTTTTGTTTTTTCTTCAAGCTCCAATGTTTCTTTGCTAGTTTTTCATGTGGTCAGTGATTTGTACTTGTTTACCAGAGTGCGTTCACGGCTAAATCGATGCAATTCGAATCCAACGTAAGGTGAGAAAAGTAGCACGTGATCTAATATCTTAATGGATAAGGTGTAGAGTTTGATTTCAAAACATCTCAGTATTATTAATAGTGAACTCTGGTAACCAAACCTCTCGACGAAAGCTCTACTATGTTCCGACGTAGAGCATGCACCGGATGAATGGAGCAGTTGGTGTCCAGCCAAGGATCCAACAGTTAATAATCTAATGGCCAAAGTTGTCAATGAATAATATACACCCATGCATAATAGCCATTTTCGAATGTACAATTAAATTCTTCTCTAACTATTACTTATATTGAGCCACGCGATAAACAAGTCTCTAGACCCTCTAATAGTTTGACTACTTAAATGGGGCCTTATGAATATGGATTCAAGTCCACTACAAATACTCTTTCGGTGATCAAGTGATCACAAAAATTTATGTTCACTCGTTTTAAGATTTGATATCAGGAATGGAGAACAAATGAACTTATTTTTAGTGCTCACTCAACCATTAATACCAAATTCAAAAATAAGTTACCATACATCAGTAGTCACCATGTGACACAGAGAACGAGACATTTGATTCTGCAAATGACAAATTATGTTGTGTAATATTGTACGACTGTGTCTGTTTTATTTGAGTGGTTTTTTCTACCTACCAAAAATGTATCGATCGCGTAATATTGTGTGAAAACAACTTAGTGCACGTAATTGTCACCTTTGCATATATTAATTTTGTAAACCACACACACTCAGCATTAAAAAGTTACAAAGCAACATGAAAAATATGATTATCCTTTTTAATAGTAACCTTTTATCTGCTAAGATTAGTCATCTTTCTGCAACTTGCATGAGAAAGCATTCTGGCCCCTTTCTTCCAATTTTGATCAAATCTTTGTGAAAGTTTCACCGACCTCACATGGATATTAGGATAATCTTCGAGGAAAGATTGTTGATCGCACATATGACGTTGTGTTATTGGACAGAGAATAAATTGTGACAAGCAACCGATCATTCTAAATTGCTCTCCGAATTAGCAGATAAATTTGTGTAAGTTTCTACTAATTGTGTTATTTGTAGGACACGTCTTACAAAAGTATGTGTTGTGACTTTTTGTAATTTAGTCGTCCTGGACCCTACTCTGTCTTAATTTGGTGTGAGATCTGTCCTTGTTAGGCAGCACTGTCAAATATCTTTTCTTAAATTAAAGGATAAAATTAAGTGACCATGTTATACTTATATATATATATATATATATATAGAAAATATTTGCTGAATTCAATAACTAATGCCCAAAAGAATTTTAGGAAATTCAAGGGATGTATCCAAGTCACCCGAAACATAAATGTATAATACATTGACCAGAATTTTTTTTTGCAGTTTGCCTAATTTACCACCTAAGGTACACTATGGTACTCTACTGTATCAAAGTTCCAGATGAAGTCAAACAAGTCTATATTAGAACATTCCCATTTTAATGTTAAACTGATGCGTTCTTCTCCAGCGGCAATCGACGAAGCAGAACCCCAGAAAAAAGAAAGAAGAAGAAGAAAATGGAGTGGTTGAAGGTCGGGGAATCATGCTGACACTCCTGACCTCAATATCCTCCAAACACCCGGGTAGGCACATGTTGGCCGACACTTGAAGGTGACAAAGCCATACTAATATGCATGAGAACCAATGAATATAAATAAGACTTATAAATTTAAATATAATGAATATGCAAATAAGGAACATATTCAGAGTATACAACTAATCTAGAACACTAAAAAGACATAATATAAAATTGAATGAACAAAGGAATGAGTCCTACACCGAGAGAACTCAAAGATGCCGATATGAGAGTGCCTTGACACCATGATTGTACGTCTCGATTCTAAGTCCTGAGGGGGCGCAAAACAAACATGAGTGGACCAAATTGATATATAAGTAATACTAAAGCATAGTTATTCCACAACATACTAACCCCCAAAGTTTATGAAAACTTAACAGTATAATATGTAATAGGTTTTCCGAAAACCCTAGCATGCCATAAAACCTTTCATAAAACATATATCATATATAGTGTGCTAAATAGCGGTATCATACTCGCCCGAAGGCAAGACATACGCCCGTAGGCAGAACAATGACCACTAGATAAACACAAAAACATTGAATATAATCTTTTCAACATAAGTACATATATCTCAATGGAGCTTAGTAGCTCAAACATCATATCTCAAAACATCTTCATAGTATATAGTCATCCATCATATATACTATAAAGAACATGAAATCGATAAAGCATGGTATTCCAAAATATTCTCAGTAAAGCATGATATCTCATAAGAAGTAAAATATAATTTACTCATAAAACGTTTCATAAAACGTAACCATTAAATTATGCTTTTCATGTATGCATTTCTAATAGCAAAATTATGCATTTTGGAAGGGGTTCACTCACAGATACTTTCCAGTCGAAAAGCCATGCAAACTAGCGAAGACAGAAACGCCACGATAAGTGCACCTAAGTACATAAAGGGTCCAATTAATAAAACTATACCATAATGATTGAATTTCGGAAAACAGACATAATAAACGGATTCAGGACGTTGAAAAACATAAGGGGGGACCTCGAGTATCCCCACGCGTCGCCACGGGGTGGTTGCCCGGTGGCCATGCATCATTTTGGGCTCTAGAAAAAGTCGTCGTCGCCGCCATAGACAGCGGCAAAGCACAGACCTACGGTGGAGGCGCATGCGCTCCACATGCCAACCAAAGTAAACGCTCACGCAGGCCGACTGGGTTCTGGGTTGGTCCGGTTCTCTCTTGGGTTTGAGCTTGGGTTCATTTGGCAAAAGGACTGGGCTGCACGGCCCCAAAAGCCTGGGTTTGCACGGCCCAAAGGTCTGGGTGATTGGGTTTCAGGTTTAAGGGGTTAATGGGTTAATTGGTTTTAGGATTTGGGCCGAAGTTCATGGCCTAAAAACCTAGGCCGGTTTAGTTGGGTTTGGGTTTGACCTGTTTTCAAGTCAGGTTGGCCAAACTCAACGGAGAATGAAGCCGGAGCTTCCCCAGCTTCGTTCAACTTCGATTCTCCACCCTAGCATGCGGTCTACCCACCAAAATGAAGACCACCAAGAGTAGATTAAGATTTTACCATTTTCAGATCCAGCTGTGGTCGGGAAGTGGTCGCGAAATGGCTCGAAGCCGTTGGAATTCATGGGGTTTCTCCAAGCTTTTGCACCGGTTTCCATGGTGCTACACCTTTTGGTCTTGGGTTTGAGGGTTGGTGTCTTGGTCTTGGGTCGAAGGTTGGTGTGTATGGGTGTGTATGTGTGTGTGTCCTCGAGGAATGGAGGGTGCAGTGAGGGAAATGGATATAGTTAGAAAGAAAGAGTGAAAAGTGAGGGAGAGAATGAGAGTGAGCTGCCAGAGAAAGAGAGGTCTGAAAGTGAGAGAGAAATAGGAAGGCCATGTGCCAGGCCAGGGAGAACAGTGACTGGGGGACCAAAAGCAACATCCTAAAATATCTCTCAACCGTGAAATGTCTAAAATACCCTTGTTCTAAAAATCCATAAATAAAAATCGGGATAGGTTGTTACACATGTAGTGGGAGTTAAGGTGGGAGGGGAGGGGGGAGGTGAGTGATGGTAGGGAGGTCCGTAGGATTTAGAAAGGATCTATTCCCCCAATGCACCATCTTGCGTGCCAAGAAATTTAATTATTTATTTTTATTACAAACATATTGCCTTATTAATCTACGTTAAGAGAGAGGGAGACAAATTTGAACTCGAAACACAGTGCGTTAAACAAAAAGACTATCCACCAGAAATAATCCATCATTACGTGTGTCAAGAAAATTTTGAGAATTTCAAAATTATTTAGAAGTTGAGAATATCGAATATTATAAATGGAAAGCAGGAGAAGAGGATACTAAGGAAAATTCAATTGAAAATTTGAAGTTGTTCATCCATTATCAATTGGAAGTTGACTTGATCCCAATGGAAGGTCACCCACTAATTGCCACCTTTTAGATGGAGACTTGAAAAAGTCATATAATAATCGTGTTACTATTTATGCATTGATATTTTTTCTTTTGAAATTTAACGTCTGAATGTGTGTTGAAGAATTTCATGAAATTTAACGATGAGTCTGAGCCACATAAAAGGCAAATATGT